CGACGCCGTTTAGTAAACGCACCCGAGGAAGGAGTCGAGCAGTGCAAGGCTGTTCAGTGAGCGCCCAGGGCTGTCCAGCCAACGCCAGTCATGGGGGTCGGGGTGGATTTTCCTCCCTTCATTGCTCTTCCCCGAGAGCCCGGCGTTGGTGGCCCCCGTGTCGTCGGTGCCAGGCCGCGGCCCGACGAACATCTCCCTGCGGTGGTCGAAGACCCCCCGCACCTCGACGGTGCGGTAGACCCAGTCCTGGACCTGTCAGGAGGGAAAGAAACACACAGACACAATTGATCGCCGATTCCCCAGAAAATATTGGAAAATATGGGCAGTGGAGGGGAAGACAGAAACCCAGAACACATGGGAAAATATGGGGAATCCTTTTATTTGCGTGTGTATGTATTTATTTGTGTGTCCCAGGGCCCCTTCAACCTGGTCGGTCCAGGGGTAGGGGCTCCCCGCCACGGGGAGCTTCGCCATGGCCAGCCGGTTCCGCCGGGTCTCGATGAGCTCGCGCTTCCACTCCATCCTCCGCAGCTGCCAGAAGCCGAGGCCGTAGACGAGGCACGCGCTGACCACGCCCATGGTCAGCAGCTGCCACCTCTCGTTGCCCCGGATGCCGAACTGGCGGTTGCGCACGGTCCTGCCCACGGGGCTCGTGACGGGGTCCTGGAGGGCAGCGGGGGCCGTGGGGAGCAGAGCGCGCGCTGGAACCCGTCTGCCCGCCCCGCCCTGAAGGTGGGCGTCCCGCTCCTGGCACTGCTCGGCACCCCAGGCCCCAAACCGACCGCCCCCATCCAAAGTGGAGGGGAAGGGCCCGGGGGGCATGACCAAGACTGCACGCGGAAACGGCGAGTCGACCTTGGTCACCGTCTATCTTGGCCAGCGCCAACTCGTCGATCGTGCTCGCGAATCGGCGACGACCAGCACGGACCAAGACCAAGATCGGCGTCGACAAGATCCCGCGACATGTTGGTCATGGCCCTTGAGTTTTCCTTGCGGGCAAGACTTTTGTGTCCACAGCCTCTGCAGCTTCGGGTCTCGGGCTCCCTCCCCCAGCAGCCCGAGGCGCCCTGGACGTGCAAAGACGTCTGGGCCCCCAGGGCCCCGACTTTCACCCATATCATACGTAGCCATGGCGCCCTCGGCCTTGTGCTTGTGGCGCCCCGTCCGACAGAGTCCACGACGCCCTCCTGCCCGCACTGTCTCCCCTCGACCACGTGCGCGGTGTGTGCTCTTGGGCTGGCCCCCAGGGCCTCGACTTCTACCCGCAGCCATGGCGCCTCGGCCTTGTGTTAAGTCGGGCCTGTCCTCCTACAGGCGGCTTTTGGGCGAAATATCAAAAATAGCCCCCCCCCAAAAAAATACCCCAAAATTGCCAAACAAAATACTCAAAACATCGTCCCCAGGCTATTCTACTGTTTTTGAACATTCCCCCCGTGGAGGGACAGGCCCGACTTACAGTGAAAACGTGTAGTAAGGACGCGTGGCAAGGACGCCAGACCCCTGGAGGCCGGAGCTGAGGCATTCTGGCCTGCGAAAGTTGCCAGGGACGGGCCGCAGAGGCTGAGGCAGGCAAGGGCCCCAGGGCACCCTTGAAGAAGTCGTTCGTCCTTACTATGCGCGTTGACCGTAAGCCTCGTGGCGCCCCGCCCGGCCGAGCCCACGACGCCCTCCTGCCCGCACTGCCCCCCCTCGACCACGTGCGCGGCGCGCGCGCCCTTCGGGCGCGGCGCGCCGACGAGGAGGGCCGGGAGGAGGGGCGAGGCGCGCGCGGGGGGGGGCTGCCGGGAGCCCTCGCCATCGCCCGGACGTCCCTTCCTCCTGTGCTTTTTCCGGTTCCGTGCGTGGCTTTGGTCGCCACATGATCGAGGATGGGCCTCGATGGCTCTCGCCGAGGAAAAAAAAATGCACACGTCCGAGCGATGCCAGGGAGCGTGCCCACGGAGACCCGTGGCTCGTCGGCGGCGGGGCGGAGGCAGTCCGCACCAGCGTGGGGCGGGGCTCCTCGGGGCAGCCGAGAGGCGAAGTGTCCGGCGCGCAAGAGAATGAGAGAGAGAGAGAGGCGAGGACGAGGGCGGCCGCGCGAAGGGTGGAGGGGGAGGAGGCCCACAGAAACGGAAGGGGGAGGCACGAACTCTTGGAGATCTCACGGCCCCAGCACCCCAAGTCCTCGACCCCCTCTCTTGGGCGCGCCCGAGGGTGTCGTGCCTCGTTCGCCTGCTGACGGGGGTCTGGCTTCGGGGGCCAGGATCCGCGAAGGGCAGACTGAGGGACGCACCTGTTCTGAGAAAAAAAAAACCGCCCAGGGCCGAGAAGTGTCAAAAAGGACCGCACCCAAGAAAAACAGGGAGGACATGATGTATGGTAAGCTACGGCCCCGAGCACAGAACAGGCAGGGAATTGAGCTCACCCTTGTCTGACCCCCAGCACGCTGACCCTCACGAGCAGGCGAAAGGGTGCCCCCCCCCCCCCCCGAAGTCCGACAGGCGCACCAGCCGGATTATCACGGAGCCCTCCACCTCGTAGGGCGCTGGGTAGAGCAGCTTGGACTGGCTGAGGATCTCGATGTCCTCCTTCGTCGCGGGCCAGAGCACCTGAGGCCCGGGGCCTGCCACCGCCCTGCCCCCGCCCAGCAGGACGGGGCAACGACGAGGACAGCTCCGTCCCAGAGCGCCCCGGACGGCTCTCAGAGCCTTCGGGAACGCTCTCGAGAAGCCCTGACTCCGGATCCGCCCTGCTTTGGGGAAATTCGTAAGTAGGGCCTGGAATTTCCGCCTTACTTTTCAGGCCCCGCTGATGCCAATTTCCGCCCTACTTTTCTGTTGCTGTTTCCGCACTACTTCTGTGGATTTCCGCCCTACTCTACGTTGGGTGCAGAAATTTCCGCCCTACTTTTTCGGCTTCTCATCGGTGGATTTCCGACGCAATTTTAAGTTGGGAAAAAAGCCAAAGTAGTGCGGATCTGGAGTCAGGGAGGCCGCGGCGCCCGATGCGTCCTCCAGAAGCGCGGGATCTCAGAGATCCTCGAATGTTTTCCTCACCCGATGCTGCCCTCGTCCTGGCTGCGTCCTGGCCAGCCCTACTCCCTCATCGCCCCTGCTTCGGGAGCACAAGAGCCACCCTCCCCATGAGCACCCCGGAAAGCGCAGCCGCTTCGCAGACGCACCCAAGAAAGGACGCGGGCAGGGCAGGGCCGTCTGGTCAGCGCCCAGGGCCGCTGAGCATACACGCCGATTGTGGGAAAAGATGAAGCCAGCACGAGGATCAAATCGGGCGAGGATCAGTCGAGAATCTCCGAGATCCGGCGGCTATGCAGGAGGTCTCGGGCGCCGCGGCCTTCTCAGAGCGGCCTGGAACGCTCTGAGAGGGCTCCAGAACGCTCTGGAGCGGACAATCCTCGCCCTGCCGTCCGAGGGGGGTCGGGAAGGCTGCTCCTCCCCCTCCCCTCCCCTCACGGGAGACCAAACGGCACCGAGACCGCTACTCCCTGGACCTCCCGGGGAGGGGTGCGTTCTTTTGGACGCCCGAAATGGGCACGGAAAGAATGGGTACGATGCCCAACAACAAATGTTGTCCCAAACCAACAGCGGCCGCTGTTGGGCAGGCGGCCTTCTGTCTCGAATGGACGCAGGCCGCGGCGGCGTGGACGGCGAATCCGGTTCAAAACGAACCAGAACTGCTGCTGGGCATTGTACCCCTTCTTTCCGTGCCCATTTCGGGCGTCCAGAGTTCCGACCAGGACTTCGGGGCGAATCCGGCAGTGGCGACGAAGGCCTCCCAGGCGGCCCAGAAGGGCGGCAACGAGCAAAGGGCAGCGGTGTGGGTACCGCTTCCTCCTCTGAGCTTCTCCTCCCCCTCCCTGCTCGAGCTCCGTCTCTCCCACCCCCCCGCGCCTCTTCCCGCCATCGCACGTGTGTTTTTGTTCGGGGGGGGGCTCGATGATCCACGATGCTCCTCGATGGCCCTCACCGAACAACGGGGAAGCATAGAAAAATAACAAACAAAACAAACAAACCCAAACAAACCAAAACAAACCACAACACACCAAACCAAACCAAACCAAACCAAACCAAACCAACCAACCAACCAACCAACCAACCAACCAACCAACCAACAAACATACATACATACATACAAACAAACAAACAAACAAAACGCCCACGCCCGAGCGATGCCAAGCCTTTGGCCGAGCAAGGCCCCCCCCCACCCCCTCGGAGGGCGGCCTCCGTCGTCCCCTGCCGGCCCTCCCCCCTGCCCCTGCTCGCGCTCCTTCTCTCCCTCTCCCTCTCCCTCTCCTCCTCCTCCCTCTCCTCCTCCACCTCCTCCTCCTCGCCCTCCTCCCTCCTCCTCCTTCTCCTCCCTCCCTCCTCCTCATCCTCCTCCTTCCCCTCCTCCTCCCTCCCTCCTCCTCCTCCTCCTCCTCCTCCTCCCCTCCTCCTCCACCTCCTCCTCCTCCTCCTCCTCCTCGTCCCTCCTCGTCACGTCCCGTCCTCCTCCTCCTCCTCCTCCTCCTCCTCCTCCTCAATTCCTCCTCCTCCCCCTCCACCCCGCCACCCCCTCGTCGTCGTCCTCGTTCTTGTCCTCGTCGTCGTCGTCGTCGTCCTCGTCCCCGTCCTTGTCAGTCCTCGTCGCCGTCGTCCTCGTCCTCGTCCTCGTCCTCATCCTCGTCGTCGTCGCTGTCGTCATCGCTGTCGTCCTCGTCCTCGTCCTCGACCTCGACCTCGACCTCGACCTCGACCTGTTCCTCGTCCTCGTCCTCGTCCTCGTCCTCGTCCTCGTCGTCGTCGTCGTCGTCGTCGTCGTCGTCGTCGTCGCCCCCCGCGCCCAAGCCAGAGCCCCTTTGGCCGAGCGGATGCCCGGATGCCCCCCCCCCCTGGACTGCGGGCGCCGCCCCAGGGTCGCTCGGGATGCGCCCCAGCCGGGGAGGCCGCCCAACGTGGGCGAGCCGATTGCCCGACGGCGGTGGGGGGCGGGGGGGGAGGGAGGGCAGAAGGAGGGTCGAGCGCGAGGGAGAACGGAGGAGGGAGAAGGCAGCGGGGAGGAGCGAGGGAGGAGGGCGGCGGAGGCAGGGAGGGAGGAGGGAGGGGCGAGGAGGAAGGAGGGAGCAATGATCAGGGACGGAGGGGGAGGATTACAAGTTGTTGCGTTTCAAGGGCATACGCTGCATTGCCACTGTTGGGCCGGAACTACCTATGCAACCTGACCCAGGGTCAGGCGACGGGGGATGTAGTGTGCCCTGGGGATCCGATCGCGTAGCTACTCGACGATGCTCGAAGCCTGGGCTTTTCTCGGAAGAGCCCAGGCTGAGAAATCGGCGGCCCTCCTCCTCATCCACCTCCTCCTCGTTCCGGAGAGCCGCCGATGTCGCAGCTGACCACCCTCAGATGCCCGCTCCAGATCGCCACTCCAGCCCAGATACTTGGGAAAGCCCAAACGCATCCCCAAGGACGCCGCAATCACCCCCCTGTGCGTTGCCACAGCGGCCACAGCTCCAGCGACGGTACGCGCTCACACCCAGCCTGTGGTCGACTCGACTCACGACAGCCCCCTCTTCAGGGCACGTGTGCTCTGGCCCCACCGAGAGGCCCACGCCCCTGGCCGCCCGCCTGGCCCGTGGTCGTGCGGCTGCGCACCACCACGTCCTTCTGCGCCTGCGCCCCCGACAGCGCGCCGGGGTCGCTGATCCTCAGGGCCGCGGGCGCCGTCGCCGCCGCCGCCGCCGCCGCCGCCGGTGCCGCTGCCGTCGGCGTCGTCGCCGCCGTCCTCGCCGTCGGCGCCGCCGCCGTCGTCGCCCTCCCCGTCGCCGCCGACGCCGCCGTCGCCACCGTCGGCGCCGCCGTCGGCGCCGTCGGCGCCGTCGGCGCCAGCGGCCGTCGCTGCCCTCGCCCGTCCTCAGAGCGGCGGGCGCTGCCGGCACAGGCGGCGCAGCCCCGCCGCCGGGGGCGCCGGCGTCCGGCGCGGGCGGCTCCCAGGCCGCGGGGTCGAAGGCCTCGCCGCCCGCGCGGCCGTCGAGCCCCTGCTCCCGCAGGTGCTCCTCCGAGGGCGACGGCGGCGGCGGCGGCCGAGCCGACGGCGGCGGCGGCGACGACGAGGACGAGGACGAGGACGACGAGGACCAGGACGAGGACGACGACGACAGCGGCGACGACGAGGACGAGGACGACGAGGACGGCGAGGACGACAGCGGCGCCCGCGGCGGCGGCGGCGCCGATGACGACGCCGACGGCGACGATGCTGACAGCGGCGGCGACGACGCTGACGACGCCGACGACGACGGCGACGCGTTGGCGGCGACGGCGGATCGACGATGACACCTTGATACTCTGGTCTCTCTCTCTGTTGCCCTTCTCCGCGACGGCACGGCCACCTGCACGGTGCTAAGGCACCGTCGGCGGCATCGGCAGACCGCAGGGTTCCGAGGGCCCCTGGAGTAGACAAGCGCGCTCCACGACTCGCAAAGTAGCTACTCGCAGATGGCCTGGATCCGCCGCGGGGGATTTACCGTCCATCACACCGAAGCAAGCATGTGTTGTCCTGACGTTGGCGAATCGGCATTTTGCGAGTAGTGGAAAAGGGCTCAGGCGACGTTGTCCTGACGTTGGCGAATGTGTTGTCCTGACGTTGGCGAATGTGTTGTCCTGACGTTGGCGAGTCGGCATTTTGCGAGTAGAGGAAAAGGGCTCCGGCGATGGAGGCCCAGGAGGGCCCCACAGCCGCCCGAAACACCTCCAAGACGTCGCCGTCGCCGTCGCAGACCAGGACGGCGCCGCACGAGCCTGCCAGAGAGGCCCGCTCGCGACGAGACAGACGCCGGGGCCCGGGAAGTCAGGCGCGGCTCCAGTCAATCTCGGTCGCCAGGGAGGAGGACGACGACTGACGTCAGCGGCGGCGACGACGACGACGACGACGACGACGCTGAGGGGTCCTCGATGCGGCGCTCGACCCTGCGCAGATCGCGGTGCCTGTGGGGGCCGACGATGATGTCCATACTCCCCTCCTCATTACTCATCATCGTCTTCCCCACCACAACCGCCACCACCACCACCACCACCACCATCATCATCATCATCATCATCATCATCATCATCATCATCATCATCATCATCAGCATCATCATCATCATAATCATCATCACCACCATCACCATCACCAGCATCATCACCATCACCATCACCATCACCATCATCAGCATCAGCATCACCATCACCATCATCATCATCAGCAGCATCACCATCATCACCATCACCATCATCACGATCATCATCACCATCACAATCGCAATCACCATCATTATCATCACCATCATCAGCATCACAATCATCATGATCATTGTCATCATCGTCATCGTCGTCGTCATCGTCATCGTCATCGTCATCGTCCTGATCATGATCATGATCATGATGATCATCATCATCATCATCATCATCATCATCATCAGCACCATCAACATCATCATCATCATCATCATCATCATCGTCATCACCTTCACCGTCATCGTCATCAGCATCGTCATCATCATCATCATCAGCATCACCGTAATCATCATCATCATCATCATCATCGTCATCATCACCTTCATCATCATCACCATCACCATCATCATCATCATCAGCATCATCACCATCAGCATCATCATGAGCATCATAATCGTCGTCATCGTCATCGTCATAATCATCGCCATCGTCATCATATCATCATCATCACCATCATCATCAGCATCATCAGCATCACCACCACCATCGACAGCACCATCGCTATCTCCATCACCAAAAATATCGCCATCACCATCATCACCATCATCATCACCATCATGATGCTGATGATGATGATGATGATGATGATGATGATGATGATGATGATGATGATGGTGATGATTGTGATAATGCTGATGAGAATACTGATGATGATGATGCTGAGAAGCAGGAGGACGAGGACGAGGACGAGGATGAGGATGATGGTAGTGGTGATGACAATGATGATTATGATGATGCCGATGATGATGATGCTGATGCTCATGATGATGCTGCTGCTGATGATGATACTGGTGATGATGATGATGATGATGATGATGGTGGTGGTGGTGGTGATGATGATGCTAATGATGATGCTGATGATGATGATGATGATGATGATGATGATGATGATGATGATGATGATGATGATGATGCGGATGAGGATGGGGATGGAGATGAGGATGATGATTATCATCATCGTCCGATCATCTACTCATCCCATGTCCTCCTTCTCCTCCTTCTGTGCCTCTTCCTTTCCTCACTCCCCACTCCTCCTTTTGGCATGAGGGGGAAGGGGGCCTGAGGGAAAAGGGTTTTGGAGCCGAGGGGCTTGCCCCAGGAGCAACCTTGCATCCAGAGTCGTTCCCCAACGCTTGGAGGGACCGTGGGGGCCCCCAAAGCCCGAAAACGACGAAAACCTTCAGGTCTCGTTCCCCTCTGATTCTTCTCATGGCTCCTCCTCTTGCTCCTCATCCCTCATCCTCACTTCCTCTTCCCGCATCTTCCTGCCCTGCCTGTCGAGGTCGGCTGGAGGGACCGTGGGGGCCCCCAGAAGCCCGAAAACGACGAAACCTTCAGGGCTCGTTCCCCTCTGCATCGTTTTCCCTCATGGCTCCTCCTCTTCCTCCTCATCCTCTTCCTCTCTCATCCCTCATCCTCTTCCCCCTCTTCCTCCTCTTCCTCTTCCTCCTCTTCCTCCTCTTCCTCCTCATCCTCTTCCTCATCTTCCTCCTCCTCTTCCTCCTCATCCTCCTCCTCTTCCCGCATCTCCCTGCCCTGCCTGTCGAGGTCGGTGGTGGTGTCCACCGGCCCGGGCTTCGCCGGCCCGCCGCCGGCGGAACCTGAGAGGAGGCGAGCAGGAGGATGGCGGCGACGACGGACAATCACGGATAGCAGGAGGATAGCAGGAGGATAGCAGGAGGATAGCAGGAGGATAGCAGGAGGATCACAATCACGGATAGCGCGATAGCAGGAGGATAGCAGGAGGATAGCGGCGACGACGGCCAGCGACGACAAGCGACGGCAGCACCGACGGACGACGAGAGACGACGGCGGCTGATGCCGGAGGGGCGAGGGGGGGGAGGCAAACTAGGTGCGCTCGCGCCATATCTGGCATCCGACCCCTCCCACCCATCCCTTCCCATTGCGCTGCCCTCCCCTCTATCCACCGATGGGTGTCGTAGCAGACCTGGAACGCCCACAGGACCCCGTATCGGGTTATGCGCAACATGAAGGTCGAAGCTGTAAGCATCGGAGGAAAGTGTGGCGGACGAGCAGGAGGATGAGCGGGAGGACGAGCAGGATGAAGAGGCGGAGAAGGGAGGAGGACGAGGAGGGACTGCGTCAGCAGGAGCGGGAGGAGCAGGAGAGCCAGGGCAGGGGCAGGGGAGGGCACATGGAAGGGGGCGACCAAGACGAGGCAACACTCGGATCCATAAATTTGTGGCCCGCGCTGGGGCGAGAGCGCCGGTCGGACCGACGGGAGCAGAGCGACGACCCTGAAATGAGGCCGACGCTGCAGCGAGAATGCTGTTTTTCGTAGCAGCAGCACCGGGAACAAGCACGACTGACACATGTTTGAAAAATTCGGTGTAGCACACCATGCGCGGCGAGGGCCGGACATTTTTGTTCCTCCTGACGGCTTGAAACACACTGACGGCTGCAACGGAGGGAACTGCACCCGACCTGAAAGAAAAAACCCTTCTAAGCCGGCCCCTTTAAGCCAAGAAAGTAAGAACCCTTCCAGGCAGAGCCTAGGTAGGGAACTGACGACTGCAACGACGGGAACTGCACCCGCCCTGCAAAAAAAAACGAGGCAGACTCGTCCGACATGACCCCACATGTGGCACGAGCGGAACCACAGCCCTCTGCGAGGGCGAGAGATGTGCGCACACGCTGGACGACACGGCGGCACTCCGCGAGGCCAGCGAGGCGGTGTGAAGAGATGCTGCAGGAGGTGCAAGACAGCACCGTCGAGCTCGGACAGGGCTCCACGGCGGCAGGCTGAGGAGGAGGAGGAGGAGGAGGAGGAGGAGTAGGAGGAGGGGGAGGAGGGGGAGGAGTTGAAGTACTGAATCAGGCCTTCAGTGTCCACTTTGACGCCTTCACAGTGTAGATTGTGCTAGGGGGGGAAGGCCCCTGCGCACGCAGCCCCACCCGCATTGCCCAGCTCGGGTCGGGCGAGAAGCGCACTTGGCAGCGAGACCACGAATCTGGCCTCCACTGCTGTGGCATTCACACCTCGTGCAGATGAGAAGAGGACCGAACTGTCCGAGCAGGGAAAAGCGATGGCGCGATGCTCGAGCTCGTCCTGATGAGCAGCGTGAGCTACAGGATCCCTGGAACACACACCTGTTGGAGGCTGGGCGGAGACACGGCTTCCACGCAGGCAGTGAACACAGCCCTAGATACCTCCCCAGCGCTGCCACTCGTGACCGACGAAACGGCTGTGGCAGAAGGTTGATGTGTGTTTTCTCCCCCTCTCTCTCTCGTTCTCTCTCTCTCTCTCTCTCTTATTAGTTTTCGTTACTTATTGATTGTTGTTTTGTGTGTCTCTCGATCTGTATATACACATATAGGTATACACACACGCTATTCAGTCGCGGACAAATCGATATCGGGCCAGCGGTGCAAAACGCGTGCCGCCATGCGCAGAGCGTCGCCAGCAAAACGGACAAGGCAATCCACCTCCTCCAAACGAATCGCGCTGGAAGGATGAAGCGACGTGGCCGTTTTCGCAGACACATCTGCATGGTGATTGACCTGCCTGCGCCACCATTGCTCAGCATCGATCCCAGCTTCGTCCGCGGTTGACTGTAACTTTAAAGCGCAATTCAATAGTGGCTCTTCCTCGAATATTCACCCATACACCAGAAATCACGAAAACTGCTCGACGTTAGGGCGGCAGGTTTGCTTCACAACGCTGTTGCAATCGGAAAAACATGACAGTCGGCCGAGCTGGGCACCGAGGCCCAAGTGACGCAACTGATCTCAGCCGACTGAGAAGTCTGGGGATATGGAGCCCAGATGGGAGCGCGAAACGCAGCAACCATGCCACCAGCTTCGTCAACTTGGACGATGCGGGCAGCCTGGGACGCCTCCCCGACGGGGTGTGTGGTGCAACTGCCGCCAACGAACGGGGATCCCCAAAGCTCGGTTCCACGAGCATGGCCAGAAGGATGCAGAATGTCATTCCCGCGCCACACACGGAAAGGACCATCATCCAACTCGGTCGGGGGCCTGCAATACTTAGAAGTCGGCGGGATGGCGGAACGCCCCCAAAATGAAAACGAGCATCTCGCTGCTGTTCTCCGAATCCTCTGTTTGCAACGCAGCCGCGACCGTATCTGGGCTGGCAATCTCCGAGCGAAACGCGACAACGGGCTCGCGGGTGCGCTCCCATAGCCTGTGGAAGATGGCGTCGAGCGCTCCGCAAAAATGGGGAAAACCGTCGACTTGATACCCCTTACATTGGACAAAACGGCCCGTGAAAAAGGTGTCCGTGTCGAAGACCCTGATGTGGGCCTTCTGATGGGCCGTGTACCTCTTGCTGCGAAGGGCTTCGCGAACCATGTCGTACCAGAGATTAAGCAGGATGACCCGCTTCTCCCCAGAACCCCTCCCAACCATCCTGAAATACCAGCCCTTGACCAACAATTTCACCAACGCGGGCGAACCAATTCCGAGCGGGATCGAGAAGCCTCGGCCATCTCGCAGCGTCATAAAACTGTCCACGTGCCACCCCAGCCTGACTGACCTCACTACCGCGACAGGGCCAGCAACTTTCCTCCAGGAACAGGACGCTTGCGACAACAAAACACTATGCCGAGCCTGGCGAATGTGTCAACTCGGGAGCCTATTGGAACGCTCCCGTCTGCCTCAACCAAATCTCTTTGGATGAGCGCACTATCGGCGCAGTCGCCGTGCGCCAGCACGGATCAATGTCTAAAACAGCCGACGTGAACAGGGACTCGAGCTGCGAGGTCGGTCGCACGACCAAGGAAGCTCTCGTGCGCAGACACAGCAGATCCAACTCGCTGATGCCCGTGACTTCAAAGCCATACGAAGCGCATGCCCCAAACCCCGCCGAAAACACTCGGAGGACCTGCTTACGAGAACGGACCTCGCTTTGTCGTCTGAGTCTCTTGGAGGCTCTGCCTAGTTTGGCCAGGCGGGCTGTGAGCATAACGGAACGACGACGACGGCCAAGCCGAACGGCACGGCCGGCCAGAGCTGTAGTCCACACCAAATTGACAGCACTGCCAGAGAAATTGCCTCCGCACTCGCTGACCTGCTCAGCTACAGCAAATCCCATGGCCTTACTATAGGCAACGACAGCGGTCTTGCCCAGAGCGAAGCTGCAGCCGAAGGACGACCCCACAAGCTTACGCAGCGCCTTCGCTCCCTGAACAATCCACCGACCCCCAATCGGCGTGTGCGAGACGCTGTCGTCGTCGCCGTCGCCGTCGCCGTCGTCGCCAGTCCCAAGAGAAACGAACAAAGAAAAGAAACGCCGTCGTAAAAGAAGCGTCGTAATCAAGGCGATTCCCTCCCCTTTTCCCCTCCCTGACGGGGGGGGGCAGAGGGGGTATACGGGGTGGGGAGGGGGGGCAGGGGAGGGGGGGGGTCCTGGGTCAGATTGCCGCCTCCCCGGGGGGGCCCGGCGGCCCTCCCCCCCCCCCCCGGGCGCCTGTCGAGACGGGCGACCAGCGGGTGGTCCCTGTCGGCGGGGGATCTCAAGACCCCCCCCCCGCCCGCGGCCCCGGCTCCGGCCCCAGTCCCGGCCCTGGCCCCGCCCCCCGGCCCCGGCCCTGGCCCCGGGAGTCGGTTTCTCTTTAGATTCAGGCAAGTTTACTTGCATGGCGTTTGCTCCCCCACCCGCCCCGGTCGCTCGTCTTCGCGCTACTACTGTGGCGTGCAATTGCCTTTCGACTTGCGCGATCCCCGCCGCCTCCCCCCCGCGGGTGCAAGCGCAAGGGGCCGTTGGTGCATCAAATCGCTGTGCTTTCTCAAACTTGCATTGGAGTTCTAGCGACGCTTCCTCAAATAGGTTCGGAACGCCCCCCGCCCATTCTGCCATTGCGCGACGAAGCTCCCCTATGCATGAAGCTCCCCTATGTCCCCCTATTTTGCCATTGCGCGCGCAAGTTGCTTCTGGCTTGCTTGGGGCGCGCCCCCCCCCCCCCCCCCCCCTCGTCGATGCAAATCAACTTGCCAAGATCGAACAAGAAAACCGTTTCCGGCCCCGACTCCCCAGACATCCGGCTGCTCTAATTTTTTCGATGCATGGGCCCCGGAGGTCCAGACCGCTTCCCTGGGACCGGTTTTTCGTCTTGAATCGTTTTTTGACGCTCCCGAGGCCCAGCGAGGGCCCCCGGAGGCCGAAAACGGCAAAAAACCTCATGCTCCAATTTTTTGGAGCGTCTGATCTCAGGGTCTGGCCCTGGCCCCAGCCCCAGCTTCAGACCTCTGGCCCCGCCGGCCTTGGCCCTGGCCCTGGCCCCCTAGCTTCGAAGTCCCGAACCGCGCAATGACACACCGCGCGGCGACCTTGACATCCCCCAAGACCTCACCGCGCGGTCCGTCAGCGCACGGCTTTGGGACCTCGGGTGCCCCAGTCGCCCGAGACGACGTCGCCGGAGAACGACCCGGGCCCCAAAACCGTGCGGCGACCCCGAACCCCCACCGACTCACCACACGGTGTGGTCACCACCCCGTTTGGGGGGCCCCGAACTGGCCCCGGCCTCGGCCCCGGCTCCAGCCGGCCCTGAGCAGGGGCCCGCCGCCTCCCAGACGCCCGCCCCCGAGGAGACACGCGGCTCTCCTCCTCCTCCTCCTCCTCCTCCTCCTCCTCCTCCTCCTCCTGCACCTCCTCCTCCTCCTCCTCCTCCTCCTGCACCTCCCCCTCCGCGCCCTGTTCCTCCGCCTACTACTCCTCCTCCGCCTTTTCCTCCTCCTCCCTCCCTCCTTCCTCTCGTCCTCCTCCTCCTCCTCCTGTTCCTCCGCCTCCTCCTCCTCCGCCTCCGCCTCCTCCGCCTCCTCCTCCGCCTCCTGTTCCTCCTCCTCCTCTTCCTCCGCCTCCTCCTCCTCCTCTTCCTCCTCCTCCCGCCCCCTGTCCCGAGCTTGTGGGAAGATCATCAGCTCGTCATTGTTGTTGTCGTCGTGGTGGTCATCGTCGTGGTCGTCGTCGTCCTTCTGGGTCGGCGGCACCAGCCGTAAGGCCGTCACAACAATTGTTGTCACACGGGCCTCGGAAACCGTGACAGACAACCCTTGATCATCGATTTAGACGTCGAAATCAGGATTCCTGAGGGGGAGATCGAGTCGTATCCTTCCTCCCTTCCTGACAAACACATCCTGATGAACGTCGTGGCCATCGAGCAGCCAGCAATCTCCCCGTTCAATTCAAAAGTAAGGGCTCTCCAGCCGGCCTCCTAAACACATATGGGATTCCCCGATGTGTAAGCAAACAGGCACAGGCGAACGTGGACCTGCGGGAAACGGAGCCTCGCGCATCCCACCCCAAGCTCCGACAGAGAGATGTACTCATAGAACTTGCAAGAGCCGAGAGAAACATAAACACGCTGCGAACGGACCGCCTGTCGCCACACAGCGTCGGCAGCACCTCGAAACGAACCGGCCGCCCAATCCCTCCTGGGGTTCTTCTGTTCCCGGTCCAGGGCCAAGGGCCGTCTCGGACGGCCCCAGGTCCTGGACCGGGAGCAGAAGACCCCGACAGGTCTGTAGCCGCCGGTCGAGTTGGTTTCAGCAGACACGCGAGGATGGCCGCAGAAATCTGAGGCGGCAGGCATCCGACAGCTCCCACGAGCGAGAACGTCATGCCCGAGCACTCTCGAGCCGGGTCGGGGAGCAAAGAGATGGTGCCTGCAGCGGAAGCCGCCGACTGAGGACCGCCGACGCTTCACGGGGCGATTTGGACATCCCCCTGATCTCCTCGGCCGGCGGGCGGGGCAGGGGAGAGGCCAGAACGCCGGCGGGAACGGCTCCCGGGCCGCGCTTCCAGAACTGGGCAAACTGCCTGCCTTCAGCTCCTGCACGAGAAAAAAGAGCCCACGGAGCCGGGCCTTTGACGCTGTGAGGCGCTCTCTGCGCTCCCCTGCCCACCCCGACGTGCCACTAGACCTTCCAGTCGGAGCGGCCCTTGGCCGGAGGGGCCGCCGTCGGCGGTCTGGGGAATGGCCACAGCAAAGCGGGCGCTCACCTTGCAACCCTGGCACGTCCCTCCGGAACGAGAGCGTGTGGAGCGCAGTCTGCACGTGAGAGAAAGATCATCCTTCATTCTTCTTTTCATTGCGCTTATTGTGCGTCTTGCCCCACACATCCATATCTTATATTCTCGGAGCGGCCCTTGGCCGCAAGCTCGAGGTCGGCGGCCTCGACGGCCTCGAAGACCCGAGTGTCGAGATCGCCGAGCAGCTCCGCGCCCCCAGCGCCCGGCACTGCGCGGGGGGCCCTCCCGAGCCGCGCGCCCGAGGGGAGAGCCGGGTGCCCACCGATCGGTGGGCAACGGTGCGCCGGCAGGCGGCGCCCTCGGCAGAGAGCCGGGCCTGCCTGCCGTCGAGGGCATGGCGCTCGTGGCGCCTGCCGTGGACGAGCTCGGGCGGGTCTTAATGGGGGGGTCATAAACGGGGGGATCAGAAAAGGTCCCCTTTCGTGCCCCTTTCGGGCCCCTCCGGAGCCCCAGGGGGCTCGTTTAGGTACCGTTTGGGTACCTTTTCGAACCACCCTCGCCACCCCCCCATTTACGACCCCCCCCATTACGCGGCGCCCAGCGCGCGCGGCGGCTGCCCCGGCCACCTGCTGGAACGACGCTCGGGACAGCCGGCCGGGCCGTCTCTACCAAGAGTCGAGCGCCAAACGAGCTGGCGGGGGTCAGCCCCCCTGGTCCCCATCTGAGGGGGGGTGCTCTCCGATGATGGAGACAAGGTCTCTTGCGGCCGCGTCGGCCCAGGGTTGATGTAACGGTCCAGGATGTCCCCAGCACCCCACGAGTTGAAGTCACCCACACGCTCCAAGGCACTGACGGCGAGACTGAGATCCCAATTCCCCCCTTTTGGGGCAGGGCCCAGAAACGGGAAGGCAAGGAAGCGGAGGGGGCCTACGGAAGGATAAGGTATGCAAGGCCGCAAGGCGAGAGTAGTAATCATAATGTGTAGTCGTAGAGGGAGAGGAAGGGGACGCGGCGACAGACGACGGGAGGGTGGAAGGATGAGGAGAGAGAGAGGAGAGGGGTCGACGGCAAGCGAGGCGCGCTCACGCCAGATCTGAGGACGAGGACGAGGACGAGGAGGAAGAGGACGAGGAGGAGGAGGCGGAGGCGGAGGAGGAGGAGGAGAGAGGGGAGAGGAGAATGGCAAGCCAGGTGCGCTCGCGCCATATCTGACATCCTGCCCATCCCACCAATCCTTTCCCATTGCGCTTCTTGTTTCTCTATCCGCGGACGCGTATCAGAACGGACCTGGCACTCCGACCAAAAACACTACCAGTTTATGCGCAGTCGGAAAAAGGGAGCTGCTCACAGAGGAAGAGGGGGAAAAGGTGGCGGCGGATGGGCAGAAGGACAAGGAGGAAGAAGAAGGAGGAGGACGACGACGAACAGCAGCAGCGGGAACCAGAGTGGAAGAGGCGAAACGAGGAAGGCGACAATACTGAGAGAGGACTCGGATTCAGAGAAGTGGTTCGCGCTCGAGCGAGAACGCCATCCTGTAACGAAGGGAGCAACGCGCCGATTTCAAAATGAGGCCAACGCTGCAGCGGGAGCGACTTTGAAGAATTGAACAAAAAACAATCGCATTGACCAAGCACACATGAAACACACACTGCTTTTGACATCCGATGCCTATATGTGTAGAAGACAGCACGCGGAGAGGTCCGAATATCTTCTGGGCAGGGTCGAGGATGAAGGGAGAGAGGGGAGCAGCATTCCTATGTTACGTCATTGGGAAAAAAAAAGGATCGGGAGGGGGGGAGGAGGAGGGCGAGGAGGAGGGGGAGGAGGAGAAGGAGGAGGAGGAGGAGGAGGAGGGCGAGGAGGGGGAGGAGGGAGGAGAGGGGCAGGATCGGGAGGAGGAGGGGGCAGGAAGTGGGCGAGGAGGAGGAGGCGGCAAGACGACGGCGGCGACAGGCGGCGGCAGCGACGAGGAGCCGCTGGCGCCCCCGCCCGCAGGCCAGCCGCCGCCCGCGCCCGCCCCGCCGCCGCCCGCGGCCAGGCGCCGAACGCCAAGCGGCCACGCGGTGGGCCCCGCCCGCGCGCGCGGCAGCGCCAGCCTTCGGCGTGGTGGCCGTCGCCGGGCGCCCGTCGCCGTGGTGGCCGTCGTCGCCGCCGCCGCCCTCGCGCGCCTCGTCGTCGTCCTCGTCGCCGCCGCAGCCGCAGGCGTCGCCGCCGCAGCCGTCGCCGCGGCCGCCGCAGTCGCCGTCGCCGTCGCCGTCCCCGTCGCCGTCGCCGCCGCCGCCGCCGACGCCGACGCCGC